TAATCATTCCTTATCATAAAAATATATGATTTCCATTAAAAAATTGTATGCAATTTGGAAATTCATAATACTCAGGTGCCTTGAAATGTTTTGAAAGTAGAATTCTTGCTGTGGAGAAGAGGCTCAAAGGAAGTAAATAGTTATTAATAGAAACAGCAAGATTGTTTGCATTTGTTTGATGTGCAGACCAATCCTGCCATTGAAATTAAGATGCAATTTACCTAAATGATCCTCCCTTCACCCTCAGGGGGGGAAACCTTATAAATTAAAATATATAATGAAGAAGTGTAGGTTGAAATGATATGTCACAGGAAATCAATTATTCCCACCAGTGTCCCCATATCTCCAAAGAATTTTGTTTAGCCTTTCCTTTATGATGGCTGAATTTTTCCTTTGAAATAATTAGTACAAAGTTTGTTTTCATATTGCTCCCAATGACTTGATGGCAGTGGCTGGGCCACATCAGGGGAGAAAATTTAGTTACTGGTTATTTCATTTAATTTCTGACTCCCTGGATGTGAATACTGGCTCTGTGTGTGTGTGTGCGTGTCTGTGTGTGTGTGTGTGTGTGTGTGTGTTAGAGAGAGAGAGAGAGAGAGTATGTGTGTACGCACACAGTCACATCTCACTCTTTCCAGCTCCATGGAATGTAGGCTGGCAGGTTCCTCGGTTCATGAAATTTTCCAGAATACCTGACTAAGTTGTCAGGCCTTACTCCAGGGGATCTTCCTGACCCAGGGATCAAACCTGCATCTCTTGTGTCTCCTGCACTGGCAGGCTGATTTTTACCACTAGCACCACCTGGAAAGCCAGAACACTGGCTCTATTGTTTAATGAATATGCCATCTTGGGCATGAGACTCACTTCTTTATACCCCAGGTTCCTCACTTATGATGTAAAACAATAATAATATAGTAATAACACTCCCTTGCACATAGAGCTGTTGTGAAGCCTGAGTGGGGAGGTAAGGTGGTCCCAAGGACACAGTGAAAGATCCACGACTTAGACAAAGCACTCTTAGGTTTAGATGGCTTTTATCATTGTACCCTGCCAACTCCAAAGCTCATGTGTTACACACCAGAAACACTCAGTAAGTGTTCGCTGAAGCAAAGGCCCATAGACTAGTCTGCATAGAGCCAGAGTAAATTACAGAAGAGAGAGATGAGGGCAAGTGCTTGTTGTTTTCTTAATAAGGAAATCCTAAAATATTTATAATTATAGACAGAATAAAATGTTGACCTAGGAAAGGAAGTGGTAAAACTAAATGTTTTCCTAATATATGTGAAAGTCTACTAAAACAAAAGAAAGACAAGTATAAATGCATCAAACGAGATGTTAAAGTGCTTATTTGAATCCAGAAGGTTTATGATATTCAGCAGACTTTTAAACTTTGATTTTAGCTTTTTCATTTTTGAAATGAGGAAGTACAGTTTTTCTATATCTCATGGCACAGGATCAGAGAAAGTCACTGCACTGATGAAGGCACAGTGGTGTCTGAGGACGGTTCACAAATAGTGAGGAAAGAAGAGACGCGAAAAGCAAAGGAGAGAGGGAAAGATATACCCAACTGAACACAGAGTCCCAGAAATAGCAAAGAGAGATGAGAAGACCTTTTAAAATGAACAACGCAAAGAAACAGAGGATAACAACAGACTGGGAAAGACTAGAGATCTCTTCAAAAAACAGGAGATATCAAGGGAACACTTCACACAAGGATGGGCACGATAGCGGACAGAAATGGTAAGGACCTAAGAGAAGCATAAGATATTAAGAAGAGGTGGCAAGAACACACAGAAGAACTATATATAAAAGGTCTTAATGACTCAGATTAACCACAATGGTGTGATCAGTCACCTAGAGCCAGACATCTGGAGTGAGAAGTCAACTGGGCCTTAGGAAGCATTATGAGGAACAAAGCTAGTGCAGGTGATGGAATTCCAGCTGAGCTATTTCAAATCCTAAAATATAATGCTGTGAATGTGCTGCACTCAATATGCCAGCAAATTTGGAAAACTCAGCAGTGGCCACAGGACTGGAAAAGGTCAATTTTCAAACCAATTCCAAAAAAGGGCAATGCCAGAGAATGTTCACCAAAGAATTGTACTACCATACAATTCTGTTCATTTAACATGCTAGTAAGCTTATGCTCAAAATCTTTCAAGCTCAGCTTTAACAGTGAACTGAGAACGTCTGGAAGTACAAACTGGGTTTAGAAAAGGCAGAAGAACCAGAGATCAAATTGCCAAAATTCACTGGATCACGGAGAAAGCAAGGAGATTCCAGAAAAATATCTACTTCTACTTCATTGATTTCATGAAAGCCTTTGACTGTATGGTTCAACAAACTATGGGAAATTATTCAAGAGATGGGAATACCATACCACCTTACCTGTCTCCTGAAATACCTGTGTGCAGGACAAGAAGCAAGAGTTAGAACCGGACATGGAACAAAGGACTGGTTCAAAATTGGGAAAGCAGAAAGACAAGGCTGTATATTGTTACTCGGCTTATTTAACTTATACTCAGAGTACATCTAAATGTACTGGCATGTGAAATGCCAGAATGAATGAATTGCAAACTGGAATCAAGATTGCTGAGAAAAATGTCAATAACCTCAGATAGGCAGATGATGCCACTCTAATGGCAGAAAGTAAAGAGGAACTACAGAGCCTATGGATGAGGGTGAAAGAGAAGAGGGAAAAGCTGGCTTACAACTCAACATTCAGGAAACTATAATCATGGCGTCTGGTTCCATCACGTCATGGCAATTAGAATTTCTGGGGGCCTCCAAAAGCACTGCTGACAGTAACTGCAGCCATGAAATTAGAAGACGCTTGCTCCTTGGAAGGAAAGCTATGAGAAACCTAGACAGCATAATATAAAGCAAAGACATCATTTTGCTGACAAAGGTTCGTAGAGTCAAAGCTATGGTTTTCCAGTAGTCATGTATGGATGTGACAGTTGGACCATAAAGAAGGTTGAGCACCAAAGAACTGATGCTTCCCAATTGTGACGCTGGAGAAGAGTTCCTTGGAGAGCAAGGAGATTAAACCAGTCAATCCTAAAGGAGATAAACCCTAAATATTCATTGGAAGGACTGATGTTAAAGCTGAAGCACCAATACTCTGGTCACTTGATGTGAAGTGAAAGTCACTCAGTCATGTTCAACTCTGCAACCTCATGGATTATAGAGTCGAGGAATTCTCTAGGCCAGAATACTGGAGTGGGTAGACTTTCCCTTCTCCAGGGGATCTTCCCAATCCAGGGATTGAACCCAGATCTCCCACACTGCAGGCAGATTCTTATCCAGCTGAGCCACACCTGATGGCAGGAGCCAATTCATTGGAAAAAACCCTGATGCTAGGAGAGATTAAGGGCAGGAGGAAAAGGGGGTGACAGAGACAGAGGATGAATTTGAGCAAACTCTGGAAGATAGTGAAGGACAGGGAAGCCTGGTATGATGCAGTCCATGGGGTTGCAACGAGTCAAACGTGACTTAGTGACTGAGCAACAACAAAGATTGTATTTTTGAAAGCAGTAAATCAAAATAAATTGATGATTTTCACTGTCAGAACTGAAGAGTTGAGGGTAAACTAATGCTAAGCAGTCTAGGGTGCCTTTAAATCATTTGTTTCATCTTTAACTATCAAGTAAAGATGAGAGAGTTTCTCATAAGTACATTAACCAGAAATAATATACAATCTCAGAAAAGGTTTACCAACTGAAAACATTTGTTTAATAATAATCAGAAACAACATCCCTAATATATGATTGATTTACATTAAATGAGAAATTAGAGAAATAAACAAGGACATTTTGACATATATTCATCCCTGTCCCAATGATATGATGCTCTGATTTCTCAAACTTGATATCTGATTGCTAGAAAATAAAATTAGAAGAGAATCGAGCAATTTATTTTAAAAATTATTTAAAATACAGAAATATAGCATTCTCTCGTCTTAGTACCAAAAACAAGTCTTCATGTCTGAAAAGCTGACTGGCTTCTATACAATGTGAATTGCTTAACTTGTTCAGTTTCAAATTTGTGGGTTATATAAAATGCATTTCTTAGCCTCTGTCTGTCATCTTTTTATATCCTTCATTTCAGTTCTGTATTTTTTGGAACATATTTGTAATTTGGGCTTTCATGTATATTATTGAAAATCCTTATAAATAATCTCTGGAACAATGCAAAAGTGAACAAAACAGTAAGCTAATTTAACATAAAGTACAATAACAAATGACAATGTTAAAAACTCATGTGTGCTCTAAACATATGTTAACTGGTAAGATTTATAAAGTCAGCCAAAATTTTATGAGCAGACAATCACCAGGAAGCAGCCCACTCAACAAATGAATTCTATTTATAACATCAATTACGTTTCCCATAGTAAGTAACTGGACAGATATTATAGTCAATACATTTATCTCTGGGTTGATTTTACCCAACTCTGAGATTATATTTCTGGACTCACAAATCTGAACATCTGACAGGGCAGTCACTACTTTGCCCTCCCTGAGCCAGAATATCTCTAAGTATTCCCCAGCTACACTTACACTGTAATATTAATTTAAAAAATATTTCAAAGGAATAAAGAGAAGCCATAACCAGGGATTAAAGTATTATAAAGTAACGGGAGGATTTTGAATAACAAAACATTGCAGTTTCTATCTATACATTCTTTTACATTTTCTCAAGAATGCTACAGGGAAGGGATTAATGACTAGAGACGCCCAGTGAAGTCCAGAGACAAGTAGAAACCCAAGATGCCCAAATGCCACGTTTCTGGCTCCAAGGTCATGCTGTTTCCATAGCAACCAGGTTTTTATGTTATATTGACCAAAGAATGATGAAACTGAATTTAAGTCTTCAGGTCATATTGGAAGCATAATTTATTCTTTTCCTTTACAAGATCTTGCATGTATATGATTAAGTTTTCTGCCCAATGGTGTGTTCACTGTGAATCTACTATCAATTCCTCCATCTAAAATGTGGGCTTACCCAGAAAATAAATTTACTGTTGAGGAATTCTCTCTCAAGACTTTGCCAGTGACGATGAGTTTGATGGCTTTTCGAAACCAGGGATAAAAGAAAGCATCAATCAAGGGGTTCATAGCTGAGTTATAATAAGCAACCCAAACCAGTATTTCATAGACACACGTGGGAGTGATGAAACCTAGGAAGGCGTCAGTGATGACATCCAGGAAGTAAGGCAGCCAGGAGATCAGAAACGCTAGCACTGCGACGCCCAGCGTTCTTGCAGCCTTTCTCTCCCTCCTGGCCACTCTGTCTTGGTAGCTGTCTGAGCATCTCCCAATCTTATTGCTCAGACTTTCAATTTGTCTAGCCTGGTGTTTAGCAATGAGGAAAATCTTGGAGTACAGAACTATCATCACAAGGGTGGGGATGAAAAATAATAGAAAATCCACCAATACCCAACTCTGATTCACTGCAATTTGACAGTCTCCCACACAGGTGAGAGCACTTACTAGATCCTCCAGGCCAGCTGCATTTGCTCCTGTGCCAAGAAGGGAAAAAGAAAAAATAACGGGAAAGAGCCAGGAGAAGGCAATACACATGCCAGAAACAGACACAGTGAACCTGGCTGGATAGACCAGGGGGTCAGTGACCGCAATGTACCTGTCCAGAGAGATAAAGCACAAGTGGTAGATGGAAGCATAACAGAATGACCCATTGAAACAAGAGTGGAGTTGACAGTAACGCTGCCCAAAGTACCAGCAGCTCTCCACGGACCTCACTGTGCTGAAGGGCATCACAGTCACTCCCACCAAGAAGTCCGCACAGGCCAGAGAGGCGATCAAGAAGTTGGTAGGAGAATGCAGCTGCTTGAAGTGGAGAATTGCAATCATCACCAGGAGATTTCCAAATACAGCCAGCACAGCTCCAAAGATGAACACGGTGTAGAGGATGAGGCGGGGACCCGGTGAGTAGGGGGTTTTCACACAGGATCCGTTCAGGTGCTCATAGCAGAGCGGCACAGCCACAGCAGAAGGAGACGCGCTGCTCATGATTCTCTGATTTGACACCTGGAAACCTGTCACCCTCTGTGGCCCAGGATGTCATTCCAGTTTTCAAAATGTCCTTAAAGAAAAGATAAATACAATGTCAGTAGTTGCCAGTGTATTCTGTCTTTAATTCCTTGTAAGTGCAAATCTTTACTTACATGTTTAGAAGGTGATTCATATCCTCATCTCGTAAAATAATCACTTTCAAATGAATAAGCATTTAATTTTCAACATTCTATAAAATGCTGTTAATTTAACTTAAAAAATCTTACCTAGTTTTTCATATCAAAGGAGAGGTTGTTTTCAAGAAGGTATTACATGATACGTGTTCGAATGCCACATTTTATTAGCATTATTTCCCTAATTTATCAGAACACTGATAATGCCCCAAACACTCTCTCCCCTCAGGAATATAACTGAATAATTTCAATTCCCAAAGCCCTTAAGACTGAATCCCCATAAGTTTAATGTGCTTAGAAAGAAAAAATTAAATAACAATTATGTTTATGCTAAAATAAGTCTATGCCCTACTAATTTCCTACTAATGACATTTTAGCTTTGCATGGAACAGAATAGTGCCTATCCTTTAAAACCTTTGAGTGGAATTTGAAAGTCATATTATTTGCTATTATTAAATATTGCCCTTTCACTTTTGTTAGAACCATTTATGTATGATTTCTGTGTTGAATGTTGCTAGAACTCTTTCAGATAAACTCTTTATCCCTAGCAGCGTTGATTTGTGTTAAAGAAATTAAACGTGTGGGCTCAGCTGCTCAGTCCCTCCGTCGTGTCTGACTCTTCATGACCACACGGGTTATAGCCCACCAGGCTCCTCTGTCCATGGAATTTTCCAGGCAAGAGTACTGGAGAGGATTGCCATTTCCTTCCCCAGGGGATCTTCCCAACACAGGGATCTAATATGTGTGTTTTATGTCTCCTGTATTGGCAGTCGGATTCTTTACCACAGCACACACTGGAAAGCTCAAAGAAGTTAAATAATCATATGTTAAATATTTGAATGATTCAGGTTTACCTTTAAAAATTCCGACTTGGGAAAGTGGGGCAGTTTGCCTCAGGGAACAAAGGAAGTGTAAGTACAAATAAAGCACTGTTTCTGCTCCTGTTGTTGTTGGAGTTGCAGTGAGAGCAGTATGAAAGATATTTAAAAAATTAAAATGTTGAAAGGACTTTTGGAATGTGGATATTCCTATGTTACACTCTGGATTTTACCACTGACAAATTTCCTTTTCCTCTCAGCAGTCTAGAACAGATCTCACCTTAGTTTTTTAAAAAGTGTTTTCTGGGGCTTCCCTGATCGCTCAGTGGTAAGAATCTCCCGAACAGTGCAGGAGACACAGGTTCGATCCCTGATCAGGAAAGAACCCAGAGGCCAAGGAGCAACTGAGTCCATGCACCGCAACGCTGAGCCTGAGCTCTAGAGCCCGGGAGCCACAAACCGAGGCCACGTGCTGCAGCTTCTGAAGTCCCCGCACCACGTGCTCGGCAAGGAGAAGCCACGGGGCTAAGACTGCGCACTGCAGCTGGGGGAACAGCCTGCTCGCTGCAACCGGAGAAAAGCCTGCACCATAGCGAAGACCCAGCACAGCCCTAAACTGAACAAATACAATGACTTTTTCTGAGGAATGACTCCTATGTTTAAAAATCAGCTTTTTCATACTGAGGCATAAAATAAATTTGAAAAGTTTACATTTTTAGCACGCATGGACTGATGACATGATAAATGTATCCACCCTTATATTCACCACCACAACCAAGGTAGAAAGCAACACCCTAACAATTCTCTTCAGGCCCTTTTATAGTTAATCTCACCCCACATTTCCTTTCTCCTGTCCTGGGGAAAACGTGGATCTCCATTCTATGGCTAGAGATTAATTTTCAAGGCCTAAAAAAATCTTTTATGAAAAGAGTCACAAAGTTTGTCCTCTTTGGTGCCTGACTTATTTCACTCAGGTTGATGTCTGTGAGTTTCATCCATGTCTGAGTACATTTTCAGCTCATTCCTTGTTATTGCTAAATGTAATTCCATTGTCTGAATATACCACAATTATTTTATCCGTATTTTGCTGTTGTTTAGTTGCTCAGTCGTGTCTGACCAGTTAATAAATATTCAGACTGTTCAGCTTGGGGTTGTCATATTGCAAAGTGTAGGTTTAAATCTGCAAGAAAGTATATACTATCTTATAAAGTAATTGGATCATTGTATACTCCCACCATCAAGCTATGAGCTGGTTTGCTCCAAATCTTTCTTTCCTCCTTGTGGATTGTCTATCGACTCAAAAGACTTTGGAATAAATCAAAGCTTATCCATTATACTTTATCTTACTTCTCCAACTCCATGTGAGAGGCCAACATGTGGACAAGTAATGACAACTCAATGTGGTGACGGATCTGACACAGACAGTGCAGTGGGGGTCACCGCAATGAAGCGGGGAACTGTATCCACAGGCAATTTTACCAAGCAGGTGACTATAAAGATAGGTCGAGAGGATCGAGGAGATATGTAAGGTAAAAACAGACAGGGCTTTCCCAGGCAGAGAGAGGTGTGTGTTGAGGCTGGGAGATGGCGTCTGGACGCATCCGCAGGGCTGAGAGCATCCGCAGGGCTGAGAGCATCCGCAGGGCTGAGAGAGCATCCGCAGGGCTGAGAGAGCATCCGCAGGGCTGAGAGCGGCGGTAGCGCAGGCGCAGTGTGGGGGCGGCCTGCGCTCCAGGAGCCCTGCGCACAACCTGACCTCACCTCCTCGTTTCCACGAGCTGTTTGGATTTCTGCAGAGGTCAGAGGGCAGGAGGGGCGAGGACATGTCACCCGTGGTGACAGATACAAATCTTCACTCCACCTGCTCAGGGATGCTAGATAGGATTTATTTTTCTGCAATACTCTTAAATCTACCTAGAGTCTCACATTGCACCAGGTACAAGAAAAATACCTCAGTAAATATGGGGATTGTGACCTTTATCCCCACAGTGTCATCCATCTTCGGAGAGCTTGGTCTCACACTATTATCTGTGGGTGTTCTTTGAGGTCTGTCTCCTGAGCAATGCATCTTCCTACCTCTACGGGGCAGACTTATAATCTTCACTGGTGGCTCTGTCCATGGAATTTTCCAGGCAAGAGTACCGGAGTGGGTTGCCATTTCCTTCTTCAGGGGATCTTCCTGATCCAGGGATCGAACCCAGGTCTCCCGCATTGCAGGCAGACGCTTTACAGAAGAATTCGCTTACCAGTGCAAGGGATGTGGGGTGATCCCTGGGTCAGGAGGATTCCCTGGAGAAGGAAATGGTAACCCATGCCAGTATTCTTGCCTGGGAAATCCCAGGTACTGTAGCCTGCCAGGTTCCTCTGTCCACGGGGTCACAAAAGAAAAGACAAGACTTACAGACTAAACAACAAGGGGCAGACTGGGCAACGTTTCCCCTTGCAGAGGGGAAATGCTCCTTCCAGCCTCGCTGGGGAGGTGAAGTCTCCCTGAAAATATGTGCATCTACTCAACACATCTACTGTGCCTGATTATCACTTTTCAAGAAATGACCTGAAGAGCAGAAATAAAGCACAAGTGGAACGTTGAACCATGACTCTTGGTAGCTTCCATCGCTGTTAAAGAAAGCGTGTAATTAATATAGACAAGAAGAGTTGGAACATCTTAATGATCTGCTGAAAGAAAACCGTAAAAATACTTAAAAATATTAAGATATAATTCCTTAGATACTTTATCTATATAAGGTGCAGTTTCTAAAATATACTAATGTACCTATGTCATAGTTTCATTAGATAAGACAAAAATATACCAAAGATATATTCTCAAAAGAGATCCCCCCCCAAATAAAACAAGCAAGCACACAGATAAAGCTAATGATGCTTAGATAAAAATAATGGTGGCATTATTAATATCAATTTTAACCTATGTATTTTAATCACAAACATTAGAATGATAAAGCTAAATTACAAAGTAAATCCCCTTTCTCAAACACAGACACTGTGTGTTATACATAAAGTTACATTTTGTAAAAGTGTAATATGGGGACCTAGTCCATATATTGTTTTATAATCTAGGTCAGATTTTTTGCTTCTGTTTTCTTTCCATTTTAGTGAAAAAAAATATATTGTTGCTTTACCACATGTTACAATGTTACATGTCTTACCACATGTTACAAATGTTACAGGGCATTTGTTTTTTTTTTTTCTTTTGCATTTGTTCTTTTTAATGGTTTTGTAATGTTCCATTTCAAAAGTAGAATATAATTGATTTAATTTGCACCATGTCAATCCTAGTTTATTTCAATCTATAATTGAGAGATATACAATGAATGTCCTTGTCATGTTTCCTTCCTTGCCTGACTCTATCTTCTTAGGCTTGCTTGGCAGAAATGGAAGTACAGAGTCAAGTGACATGTGATTTGAAATTTTACATAAATGTCTTAATTTTCCTCCAAGAGAAGAGAT